CTACATCCATGCTCAAAATGTAACCTTCTGATTTTTGTTTTGGATTTGGTACAATGATAATTTCCTGACCAATATACTTTAGAGTCATTAATATTTGTTGCAAATATGCATATTTACACTCAGCTACATTTAACTCTTTCTTGTCCAACCTTTTTCTTCTTTTCCTCACATTACAGAAAGTAGCTTCATTCTTCCTCTGTACCTTGAGTACTATGGCACTCAGATATTGGGGCTATGGATTTAATTTTAGCACAGGATTCCTTGTGTCAACATCATAGATTGTCTTCCCTCCCTTTAGCATCAAGGGCTCACAAGCTTGATCGTATTTGCTCCAGAAGTAGTCTCAGTCCAATACCCAAATCTGATAACCTAGATTCACAGAGGTTTTGTCTTTTCTCACGACTGATTACCAGAATAGGTATAGGTGTTAATTCCTACAGGGTGAATTTAGACCAATAAGATAAGAGGCAGAAAGGAGTTTGCATATAAACTCCTGGCCCACTCGTCCAACCCAACCAGATGTTTTAGGCAATCTTTACTTCACACACTCTGGGAAAAAAAGAAAACCTACACAGCCAATCAACCAGCCAGGCTTCTTGTGCCTCTGTCAATGACTTGGTAAAGCATTGCCTTATATCAGGTTTCCCCCTTCCCTGACTAAAATCTCCCTTTCCCTCATTTGTGACTCCCAGAGAATAACATTATGTCCAAAAATCATGTCTGCAAGGTGGTGTGACTCTGTTTTTTTTTTTCGGGGGGGGGGGGGAGGGATGACTTAGGATAAAACACAAAAGCATGAAAAACAGAAACTGTCATGCATTTGTTATTTTCTGTTAAGTAAACATAGAGTTGGAGGACTTGTTAGTTTTGAGTTTTGTCCAACCAATGAACGATGGTTGTATTTAGAAATAGTCTTGATTGACTGGAGCATATTGTGGTTTGTTGTTTTGCTGAAGCTTAACGTTTAATCTCCTATGCTTTGGGACAGATTGGCAGAGTTACCTAGCTAGATAACATCTGCAGCCTGCCTACAGCAAAGCCAGTTTCAGCAAAAATATTCTGTGTCAAAACATTTTTTAACTTATAAAGAAAAGAGACAATTTTTACTGGCCCATCATGGTGACAGAAACTCTTTAAAATTATAATGGCCTATAAATACAAACCCAATGATAAACTCTTTATGCTATTATCCCCTTTATATTGATGCAATATAAGTTAAAAGTTGAATTCATTATATCATGTGACTAATAAAATTCAAATAACATTAATCTGTATAACAGTTAATTTTCTACTAAAGCCAAACTAGTACATTAATATTACATGTCCAAATAGGATAGTCTGTCATTTCATGGACTGATTTTCCTATTGCCTACTTTGTTTAGAGAATTTTATGATGCTTTATTTTAAAGATAGTATTTATTTTTTTTTCATCCTATGAATGGGCCATTCACATACTAGTTTTACCTTTGTAGTTTTCCACAAGCTCCAAAAAATTAAAGTATAATATTGCTACAAAACACAAAGTAGTTTTCAGAATATCACAACAGACTCTTATGTAAGCAAATGAAAGTGAAAACTGAAAACTTTCAAAGACTAATGGTTTTATCATTATTATTTATTGTGTGTGTGCACATGTACACACACACACACACACACACACACACACACACACACACACACTCGCCATACTGTTCATGGGGAGTTAGAGGACAACTCGGGCTAATCTATTCATTCAGCATGTGGATCCTGGTGACTGAACTCAGGTAATCAGTCTTAGTGACGAATCAGGCTAGGTGCAAGTGCTTTTACAATGTCACTGGCACCTATTTACACTTTTGTTCAAACTATTTTTTTGAGATTATAATATAGTTACATCATTTTCCTTTCCTCTCTGAAACCCCTCTCATATACCCTACCCCAACTCTCATTTAAATTCATAACTGGTTTTTAACAAAATTGTTGTTGTTATTGTTATTGTTGTGTATATATGTGGTGTGTGTATGTGTATGTATTCCTAAATATATAAGTATAACATGCTCAGTCCTTATAATGTTACTTGTATGTATATGTGTTTTCAGGGTTGACCATTTAGTATTAGATAACCAACTGGTATATTCTTCCTTAGTTGCATGTAGTTATTTGACTTGGGGTGAGGCCTTGGGAGCTTTCCTCTCTCCATATTACCATGTCTATTGGTGTCATCCTTGTTTACATCGTATTTAGGCAGCCAGTTTTAGGATTCATGTGTGTAGCTTCTCTGCCATTGCTAGGCCAGACAATCTCATAGCAAACTTCCTGTTGCACTGGGTTTTGCAGTCTTTCTGCCACTTCTTACACAATGAATTCTGAGCCTTTGTTATGTGCAGGAGTTTTGTTGCAGAAGCGATTGAACTCCACAAGGCTGCATTTGGTTTAGTTGTGGCTTTCTGGAATGGTCTCCATCTTTTGAAGAAATGCTATTGATGAAGAGTGAGAACTACACTTACCTGAGTGTGATACCTGAGTGAGGATAAAGACAAGTATTTATAATGTGGGGTTAGAGACCATGTGGTTTAGTAAAGTAGTAGTTGTAGGTTCTCTTCCAGGATCCAGGACTTCACTAGCCCTGGGTAAGTGCTTAAGTTTCTGTGGTCAGGCATGACTTTCCTTTTGTTGAGCGGGTCTTAACTCCAATTAGAGAGCTGGCGGTTACTACCAAGGTATGCATATCACTACTGTACCCTTTGGCTTATTGTGCCAGGCTGGTTGCTGTGGTGGTTATTAACACTTTTAAATAAGGGACGCATAATTTATTTATTTTGGAAGATGGAATATGGTATCAGATTCAGCACTCAGTCACTTAGTCCCATGTTCCAGGGTGGAAAACCGTGGTGGCAGCGGCCTGTGTTACACACTGCCCTTCAGGAAGCAGACAACTAATACTTTTATAAGAAAAATTTAGGGGATTTTGTCCTAAAAAGATTTGTTTAAGGTAATCAGTGTTTATACAATAATAAGGGCTAGGAAGGTTTTATTTGAGAATTTTTTTATTTCATATAAGAGATTTTCTAGTTGTTTTACATATCAGCCACGGATTCCCCTGTCCTCCCTCCTCCCACCCAGCTGTCCCCCTAATCCACCCCCCATTTCCACCACCTCCAAGGCAAGGTCTCCCCTGGGGAGTCAGCCCAGCCTGGTACATTCAGTTGAGGCAGGTTTAATCCCCTCCTCCTTGCACCCAAGATAGGCAAAAGAACCCTGTACAATAAAACCTACTCACTAACAACTCAGTGAGGTCATTTTTTAAAAGAAGACATGAAGTTGGAATGTGGGGCTGTGGAGTTCTGGTAGGAAGTGAGATAGAATGGAGGATGGATATGATCTAAATACATTAGCAAATAATAAATTTTAAAAAACCTCAAAAGTCCCAGATGGGGTATATGCCTTCAATCTCAGCACTCAGGAGCCAGAAGCAGGGAAACTTTCTAGGCCAGTCTCATCTACATAGTGAATTCCAGGATAGCCAGAGCTATACAGTGAGACCCAGTCTGAAAACAAAACCAATCAAACAACAAAGCACATAATATCCAAAATATTCAAACCATTTACATTTAATGTGATTGCTTACATATTTATATTGCTTCCTATATATTAAATGTATTTTAGTTTTTCTTTCCTGTCTTATTTTCTCCATATTAAATAAATACCATTTTGTCATTCTACTTCTTTTATGAAATTTCTATTGAATTTTTAAATTTATAGTTTCTAGTTATTTTCTGGTCTCCATATATAATAACAACAATGGCTTTGTCTTTTTTAAGTCTTATTTTTGTTTGATAGTGCTTGGAATGTAACCTAAGACATTACACATCTACCCCTGAGTCATACTTCCAGCCCTACTGATTTTCCACTGTATGTGACCATTGATGGTTTAAAGCACTGGGTTATAATTTCTTTCTCCAGTGAGAATGTGCCTTTGTTTCTGCATGGCAGTGATATTAGGATACCCAGGCAATGAGGTATGGAGCTCTTTCAAAGCTATCAGTCTCTCTTAAGGCTGAACTATTTACTATTCAGTATTATTTTTAAATTAGATGTCTTTGAGGTAGTTCATTCTTCACAGGCTGCTATCTGAAATCCCCCTCCATATGCTGAAGCCTAGGAAACTTCCAGCTTCTCAGCCACCACTGTTTGCAACGTCTTTGCTTTGCAGGTGTTTTCTGCCTAGCTTCTGAGTCTAGCCAAAGGCAGTGTTATATTTTCACATGCATAGAAATAAGTAGTAACTTCCTATAGGACTAACACAGTGTATACTTATATCTTAGAACCCCATGGACCAAGAATCCAGCTTTATAAATTCTCACTTGATTTGTAAGCAGAAAAGATCTAACTTAAGCCTAGAGAACAGTCTTACAGCAAAGATCTCTTTATGTCAGACTATGCTGATCACTGCTTTGACTCCACAGACTATTATAGTACCTACATCTTGTCTGTGGAAGTTTTAGACTAGTTTCTTTGGACCTAAACAGCAGGAGTTGCTTTTTTCAATCTGGAGGTCAGAAGTATGAAAGCCAAGTTTTATCAAGGTTGGTTCCTTCAGGAGGCTGTTGGAGCCTATTTATTCCATTTCACTTTTCTAGCTTCTGCTGTTGGTTCTGTATACCTTGACATCCAAATTCCCCTCTTCTTATAAGGAAACCATCGACATGATTATAGACCACATTAATTCATTACGACCTTATCTTTATTTTATAGCACCTCAAAGACCCCATTCTGTAGCTAGGGTTTTCCTGCCTGTCCCACAGTCAGGACAAATCTCTCTTACCTGTCAGTCCTATAGCCGCTCAGACCCAACCAAGTAAACACACAGAGACTTATATTGCTTACAAACTGTATGGCTGTGGCAGGCTTCTTGTTAACTGTTCTTATAGCTTAAATTAACCCATTTCTATTAATCTATAAGTTGCCACGTGGCTTGTGGCTTACAGGTATCTTAACATTTTGCTTGTCATCATGGCGGCTGGCAGCTCTCTCCCTCTCAGCCTTCCACTTCCCCGAATTCTCCTCTCTGCTTGTCCCGCCTGCCTGGCTACAGGCCAATTAGTGTTTTATTTATTAACCAATCAGAGCAACACATTTAACATACAGAACATCCACAGCACCGTTCTACCATTTATAAGTACCAGAGGGTATATATATAATATATACAATCTTACAAAAGCAATTAAGTGCCAGATCACTGTCATCTTGGAGTTCCTTCATTCTCCTTGTATACAGGGCTTCCAGCTTTGTGGTAGTGGTTCCCATAGTAATTACTGATATGGAATGAACAGTCAACACTGTTAGGGAGAGTGTGCAGGCTTAGTGGATTAAGACATTGACATTTCAACATCATGAACCATTTGTTTGGAGCCTTGATCACAAACTCCAAGTCTCTTAGAACTGCACAGAAAAAGATTTTTGTTATTTAAGTTCCTATCTTTGGTGTTTTGTTGTGGCAGCCTAGGATGACTAATATAGGCTGATGTCAATAAATTCTGCATGCAATATTCCTTTCATTTTAGCCCCATGCTTTTAGGAATGATTGAAATGCATATTTCCTAGGTGTTCATTCACATAAATGAGAGAATCATGAAACTGCTGTTCTTCTTTGTTGCTTTTTCACTTTATGAGACAGGGACTTACATAGCCTGGACTCTGATTCCCAGTGTAGCTGGGCATGATCTCAAACTATGATTCCTCCTATGGCTATCTCCAAAGATATGGGTGGCAGGCAGGAATTGCCATACCTGATAAAGCTGTGCTGTTCTTTGATTTTCTACAGAGGCACCTCATTGGTCACACTTTAACATTAACCTTTGTGGCTCACTGGAACTGAAGTCTAGTAGAGATGTAGAAGCAAGGATGATTGTGAGCTAAGTACAAAGTCAGTGCCTTACAAATCAACCCTTTCACTAAAGGCAAGGATAGGCTGACCTTCTCAGAAGGTACTAGAAGAGCCGATTCTACTGGCAAAGCAGAACTTACAATGGTTAGAGGCGCTCTGCCTTGTTAGGAGCTTCTCATGGGACTGCCTTCCAGTTTTAAGAGCTCATTCTTCCCCCAAACAAGCTCTTACGTTTATTCCTAGAGGTGCTGTGGGACTGGGAATTTCGTTTGCATAATTCAGCACTGTAGGAAGAAACCTGGGTTTCCTTTTCAGAAATCTCAGCCCTCTAGCTACAAAAGAGAAACATTATTTCAGGCCAGACAAAACCACTTTCCCATCCTCTCTGTGGACATTGCTATGAGAGTTTAGATCTCTGAGTTCATCCTTTCCCTCTTCTCTCCAGCACAGTTAAGAGGAACCAACCAACCCTTTTACACTTTTGGGTACATCATATTCTAAGGTACCAAAGACATGTTCACCCCAAACTGTGCCTTCCATATGGTGCTATTTTATGTATCTCTAATTCTCTGTTCTGCTGTTGACTATCAGTACCTTCCTAGCTACAGGGAATGTGCTCATTAGTGCTTTGAACTCTAATCTTATTTCCCTAACACTCAAAGCCAAACTAATTTATGCTCCTATTGCTTTGGAACCACATTCGGTATAAAAATCTGTGTCTGTTTGAGTTTAATCAAAGGAAAATCACTAATATCTATCTCTAGCTATGTCAAAATTTATATCAGAATTTCTTTAAGGTGACATTGACGATGATTTGGAGATGCAGATTATTTTGTGAATTGTGGGGTGTTTAGGAGTATTCCTGGTCTCCACGTACTAGATATCAGTAGCAAAATTCACATATCCACACAGAGTCAGAACAATAAATAATATGTCCAAATATTGCAAATGTTACCTGAGGGACAAAATTGACACCCAGTAAGAACCATCAGTATGTCTGTCACTATCACCTAGATTTATTTCTAAGTTCTGTGTATCCTTTTAAGACAGGTATTTATTATATAGTACTGGCCTCATGTGATTTATTGGAGAAGTATATGTAGTCTATGTATGGCTGTTTTCTTACATTTGCTGCTAAGGTTCTGTGCTGGTTAGTTCTTGTTAACTTTACAAAACTAGGGATAGTTGGGAAGAGAGAACATCACCTGAGGACTTGCCTGTATCAAATTGGCCATAGGCAAGCCTGTGATTCATTTTCTTGATTAATGACTGATATGGGAGGAGCCATCCCACTATGGGCAGTGCCACCCATATAAAGGTGGTCCTGGGTTGTATTTGAAATCAAGTTGAGTGAGCCATAAAGAACAATCCAGTAAGCAGTGTTCCTCCATGGACTCTGCTTCTGTTCCCAACTCCAGGTTCCTGCCTTGTGTCCCTTTGATAACAGAATGTAACTTGTATGGCAAATGAACAATTTCTTCCCTATGAGTTGTTTGGGGTTGATTTTTTTTTATCATAGTAACAAATCAAATTAGGAGGCATTCCAGGTTCCCTATGATAGCACTCCAAAAGGAAGCTCTCAAGCAGGATGAAAGCACCAAGCCTGCATCACTTCTCATGGCTTTGGACCTTGGTGATAATGCTGTCCAGCAGAAGTAAGGCCTTTTGTCACTAAGTTAAACACACCCGTCTGGTTCAGGAGTCTGAGAAACTGAAGGAGGATCGGAGGATGGGGGAGGTAAATCATGTTCAGGGCAAGGTATTGCTTCATACCAACTGCATGAGTCAGCAGAACATTACACACAGGTTTGAGAATAGCCAGGGCTTCCCTTCTAGAAGCCTTCATATCTCTAATAATATACCGTTTCACTGGCCTGAGTCCAAAATGAGCAAGGGGATTAAGATGGGGAAATTTAGTACAATTTAAGCACATTGACATATAACAAACCATTACAAGATAGTTTTCTCTAAGCAGGATCCAAAGTAAGTCAAGAGTCAAATGAAAATATTGATCAAGTTGGGACAATTTGCAATTACAAAGATTAACCACAAGAGAAATGGTGACTTTACCTAAGTCAAGCAAATATTAAATATCGGGAACTCCATAACTCCTTAATCCATGTTTTTTCCATATTAAATCACAATGGATCCAGCAATTGTGCCTTGTGGGGCTGGGGCAAGGACTCCAAAAGTTTCTATAGTTATGTGGTTTGAATATGGTTTATCTTCACCAAAATTCATGCAGAAACTTAGTCCCTACCAAGGCAGTGCTTAATGGTGGTGGAAACTTTAAGAAGCATGTTGGATCTTGGAATCATTAGTCTTGGAGGGCTCTAATGCCTGTATTATGGGAGTGAGTTAGCTTTTATGGGACTTAAATGATCATGTTTCCCATGAAAATATGTTGTTGCTGAGTTTTGTATCCTTTGCTCAGCTGTGCTTCCCATATTCCCATGTGATCTCTTCTGAGCACACTTGCTTCTACTTCTGCTTCTCTGCCAACTTGTGATACAATTTGCACTGCTATCATAATAACAGATGAAGAAAATTAGCACCCAACATATGGTACTGTTTCTTCCCAATTGGATATTCCCAAATTCAGGAATGGAGTGGTACCTCTTACTATTAACACTAATGTCACACTGGCAAAAGTCTGGTTTTCACTCCAGTTAATTCAGGCTGGTGGTGTGGGGTCCTTGGTGTAGTGATACTTGTTCTGCCCATGACCTTGGGCTATAGGGCCTGAAGGAAGCGGTGCTTCCTGCCATTTTATGTGACTCTTATAAGGGAAGAGAGAAGGGTCATATGCCCCTTCTCCCTGTTCCTGCCAGCTAGGTAGATTTGCTCCCAGTCAGATCAGAGGATGGCTTCAGCTGTCTACTCTGTTCTGTATTCATGAGTATATTTCCTCAATTTATATCTTAATAAATTTTGTTACCTACATAATAGACCCACGTGGATTGATCATAATACCTTAGTTTTAAAGAGCAGGGTGCTTTTTAAAGTGTATTGGTTATTTTTATCGTCATTGTGACCAAATAGCTCTTGTAAACAACTTAAGATAGGAGTTTTATTTCAGCTCATGGCTTCAGAGGACTCACTTCTTGCTTCAGCGGTTGTTTTGCACTTGTAGCAAACCAGTAACTTCAAGGTGGTGGGAACATGGAAAGATTTGTGAATGGCAAGAATGTATGTAGGCTAACTGCTACACTTTTACTTTAAAGTGTGATCACAATTAGTAACAATGCTCCTCCTCCTCCTCCTCCTCCTCTTCCTTCTCTGCTTCCTCCTGTTTCTTTTAAGTAAAACTTGCCAGACCTGGACAAAGTCACTGTTGGTTTTAAATGTGGCACTTGTTACTGTGTGAGAAAGGTCATGAGGCATGACAAAACCCAGCATCAGAGCTTTATTGGGGGAGGGAGACAGAAGAAAGTGACCAGGCCTGTGAAAGACATGTGCAGGGAGAAAGAGAGGGGAGAGGAGGAGAGAGCAGAAGAGAGGGGAGGAGTCTGTGACCAGCTTTTTAAAGGAATCCCCTGTATATGCACATGTGGCCTTACAGAAGATGTTAGGCCCCTTGCTTAGCTACTGAACTGCACATGTGTAGTCATGCAGCTGGAGGAGTGGCAGAATCCTAACAACTTTTGCTTATTATAAAAAAAAGGTGTGTAAACAGGAATAGGGGCATCGTTTCTCTCAAAAACTGCCTCCAGCTGACTTGGTGGGCATCAGTTGACTCTTGGGGGGCATAAGGAAGGGGGCTTCTGAGGTAGACATGCATCCTGAGATGGTGGCTGTCGTCTGATGCCTTGGACCTGTCCATCATCCTTCTCAGCGTGGGACTCTGGCTGCTTGTATCTGAGAAGGTGCTGGTGAGACAGAGAAAAGCTTAGAAAAAAATATTATTATTATTATTATTATTATTTTCCTTTGGGGGAGTCCCCAGGGTGAGAGAGGAGGTCCCAAGACCAGGAAAGTTTGTTTGCACGTATCTGAAACATATCCGACCTGTCCAAATAGATTCAAGCTGGTCCCAGAGCTCGCTGACCTGTCCAAGTGGATTCTCTGGAGCTCGGGAAAATTTTTAAACATATTAAGAAGCAGCCATGGGAAATTGAAAATCTTGAGCTGGTGACCATATTATTGTAATGTTTTAGAACTCTGATATATTGGTTAGTGTTAGAGGGGGGGATATTTGGAACATGCTTTTAATTTTTACCTGAGATAAGCCTTATCAAAGACAGATTATTTTAAGGCACCTGTTTCCTTTATTAGTTTAGCATCTAGGAGACACAGGTGATCAATTGCTGAGGGCATTTAACAGTAATAGATTGTTACATTAAAGTCTATATTTTGCAGAGCCCAGACACTTTTGGGTCTAGGGGTGTAAATACCTTTGGACTGTTACTGCTCCTTTCCACCTGGGTATATACTTGATGGTCCTTGGACTCCAGCTCTATGGTGATCCTCTAACAATTAGCTGAGTAAATTAGAAGAAGTGAACCAGGAAGAGTAAAGCTTGTGGGGTGAGACCTCATTCTCCTGGAATTGGTGACAAATTAGTGGATCCTGGTGTCCTCTGGAACTTGAGAGAGAGCAGGGCCCTGTCTGTGTCACTGTGCATGAGGAGGAGAAGCACTTCTGACCAGTCTGGAGTGAGGCACATGGAGGGAGCAATGAAATGAAAGCTCCTACCTTAGCTGGAAAATCTTTTCCCATTAGGTACCCCTGAAAGTACAATTAAGTGGTGGGATCTGGTGAGGTGGTTAAGGCTGTCCCCGTACCCTGACAATAGGGAAATGAGAAGGAGAGGTGGGACCCCAAAACTCCCTCCGGACTGATTAAGTGGCTCCGTGTCCAACAGGAAGGAAATGGATGGCCCCATGCTACATCCTGGGTTCCCTGTGAGCTCGTGGTCAAGCCTAGGAGGTCTGCTGGAGGTCCTTGTTTGATGTCCCCACACCACAAGGTACGTGAAGGCAGTCAGATGACCAGTTATCTCTCGAGGTAACTTTTTGAACCGAGGGGCAGCGCACGCACTAGCCTGAGTGGCCTTTTCTAGCACACAATTAAAACAGGGACCTGGGTGCCCTTATGCAGCCACTCGGATAGCGTGTGCCAGCATTTGGCAATTCTGTTCATGGGCTTTCTCATCTCTCCCATGGCACCTTAAATGCCACAGCTGAAACTTCTGCCTGTGTGGTTAGGGGACCCTGCTCTCCAGATGCTTAAGCTTAGCCCTGATATTGGGGAGCTCTGGGAGACATGAGATGAATTTTATTCCATGTCTTGAATTCTTTTTTTTTTTTTTTGATAGTTTGTTGGTTTGAGGACAGCTTTAGGAAGACCCACCAGGAGGCAGGTTGTAAACTGATCTCTGGCTGGAGAGCCATCCGGATTATTATAATCCCCATGTGGGTCCTGACTGTAAACTTATTTGCATGCATCCTAGCCTGCTTCCAGACCTGTCCGTGCCTCTCCGGGCAGCTGAGAAGGGTGACAGGTGACAGCAAGAGTGAAAGAGGGAGCCAGAGTTGGAGAGGTCCGCCTGATCCCGGGGAGCAGAGCAGAGGGCAGATAGGCAGAGGTTCTTTGGAGTCAGAGATTCCTCAGGTTCAGGAAGGCACGTGGACAGGAGAGAAAGACTCAGAAAGGGAGGGTTCAGAGCTTAGGTAAAAGCGTGGGGATAAGGTAACTCTTTTCATTTGATTGTTCACTGGCAGAACTTAGATAATTCTTGTGAAATGTTGGAGTTCAAGCAGCCGTTATGTGGCCATATTTACCTAAAATTGGGATATTTAAGCCATTTCTCAGAGGAGGAGTGGGACCAAGAAGAGGAAGCCTCTATGTCATGTGACTGCAGCTGAGAGAAAAACAAAAATAAAAAGTTAAAATGACAAATGGGATCCCAGACTCCCATCTTGGGCATCCCCAAGAGTAGGTAATCTGTGGACTGGCATAAATTATCAGCACAAGTTACCCCAAACTTCATCAAGGGAAGGGCAAGGGCTGGAAGTGTACACAGCATGAGGACCCCCCAGGAGTCCAACAGCATTCAATGCTTCATCAAGAGAGAATGTGTCATGGCCTGTGCAGCCCAAGGACCCCCTGGGGTCCAACACGAGAAATATATCTCAGGCTACAATCATGGTAAGTGGTGAGGAATCAGAAAGGGAAAACTCACCAATCTGGGTAACTGGTGTGTTGTGTATAGCAGTCCCAGTGACTGGGCAAATGAAAAAGGTGTGCAGTCATAAATCCAAGAAACCTCTGTACAGGTTCCCAGACACAGAGCACTATCAGAGCCTGCTTCATCACAGCACCAACGTTTGTTTTAATTGTGGCGCTTTTACTCTGTGAGGAAAGGTCACAAGGCACCACAAAATCCGGTATCAGAGCAAGGTTTTATTAGAAAGGAGGGGGAGGGACAGAAGATAGCATGACCAAGCCTGTAGAAGAGACACATGCAGAAAGGGAGAGTGGGGGAAGAGAGAGGAGAAGAGAAGAGAGGAGTCTGTGACTAGCTTTTTAAGGATTCCCCTGCACAGGTGCAGTTGGGCTTATGAAGCTATGCCACGCATGCAACAGATTGCATGGCCATAATTATGCAGCTCACTGATGATGAAAGATGTAAGGCCCCTTACTTAGCTACTGAACCGCGCATGTGTGGTCATATAGCTAGAGGAGTGGCAGAATCCTAACAGTTACCACAAGGCCTGTGTGGGTAGGGGTAGTCACCAACTGATGGTGATTTGCAGGTGATTATAGAACTCATCATCACTTAAAAGTACTCATCACAAGAAGAGGGTTCATTTGGGTGACTTCCTCACTCTTTAAAATACCTTCTGGAGAAGAACACTATTTTCATCTAGGATATTAGTCACTTATCCAAATACACCTTAATCACATTGAATACTTATGCCTAATGCCTAAATGAAAATGTCTCAGGCGGTGAGGGTTTTGGATGGGATAGTTGAGTAATCACCACACAGCAAATAGCCAGGAAGTGGGGTGCAGAGGATTTTGATAGGAAAAAGAGGAGCAAAATGGGTGAGGTTGGACTGGATATACCATTTGATCAAATGGAGTTATGGTAAGGATTCAGGCACCCCCAGAAGACAGTGTTGGGATGCTAGCCTATAAAAGGTGATTCTCTTGAAGAAAAGGAAGAGCACATGAGATAAGTAAAATGAAGTGTTTTTTTTTAATTTTTAGTAATTACACTGATTTGATTTCTTTCTTTTTCTCTCACGCTACATACCATCTATTAGCAAATCTAATATCTACTTCAGAATATCCTTAGAATCTGGTGCCATTTTTTTTACTTCTTTAAAGTGTGTGTGTGTGTGTGTGTGTGTGTGTGTGTGTGTGTGTGTGTGTGTGTGTGTCTGAATTTGAGTGCCTATGTATGGAGGTCAGGGGACAAATTTTCAGGAGTCATTTTTTTCCATTCTGCCTTGCTTTTGAGACAGGAGCAATGCACATACAACTTCTAGCTGATTCTCTTGTCTCTACCTCCCATTTTTCCCTAAGGAGACCTGGGTCTATCCCATGGCTTCTCAGGGGGTCTGAACATGGATAGGCAAGCTTGCAGAGTGAGTGCTTTTAGAGCTGAGTCATCTCCATTTCCTGACTTCCTCATTTTCCTGTCCCACTCTTTCACCCTAGTCTCTCTGATTACTGTCCTTCTTGCTTTTTCCATTTTCCCCCTAACACACTCGCCTGTATAAATAGCTCATCCTATCTGACTTCACCCATTCTGCTCCTCTTTTTCCTATCAAAATCCTCTGCACCCCACTTCCTGACTATTTGTTGTGTGGTGATTACTCAACTACCCCATCCAAAACCCTCACTGCCTGAGATATTTTCATTTAGGCATTAGGCATAAGTATTCAATGTGAATAATGTGTATTTGGGTAAATGACTAACATCCTAGATGAAAATAGTGTTCTTCTCGGGAGAGTGCGGAAGTCACCCAAATGAGCCCTCTTCTTGTGATGAGTACTTTTAAGTGATGATGAGTTCTATAATCACCTGTAAATCACAGTCAGTTAATGACTGCCCCTACCCACACAGGCCTATGATTCTGTGTACAATACTGTGGCTTGAATACGGTTTGTCCTCTCTAAAACTCATGCAGAAACTTTGTCCCTACTGTGGCAGTGCTTAACTGTGGTGTGAACTTTAAGAAGTGTTTTGCATCATGAACCCATTAGTCTTGGGGTGCCCTAATGCCTGTAGTGCAGGAGTGAGTTAGGTTTTGTGGAACTTAAATGACTAGGCTTCCCATGATAGCATGTTGTTGCTGAGTTTGATGGTCTTTGCTCCCTGAGCTTCCCGACTTTCCATGTGATCTCTTCCGAGCACACTTCTGCTTCTCTGCCAACTTGTGATGCAATTTGCACTGTAATAGTAATACCAGATGAAAAAATTAGCACCCAACATATGGCACTGTTTAATCCCAAGCTGATATGCTCAAATCCAGGAATGGAAATGAGAGTGGTACCTTTCATTGCTAATGCTGTCACACTGGCAAAAGTCTTGCTTTCACTCCAGTTACTTCAGGCTGGTGGTGTGGAGCCTTTGGTTTTAAAGAGTAGGATGTAGCTAGAGTTTTCCTGCCTTGCTCACAGTCAGGACAAATCTTTGTCACCCATCAGTCCCACAGCTGCTCAGACCCAACCAAGTAAACACAGAGACTTATATTGCTTACAAACTGTATGGCCGTGGCAGGCTTCTTGCTTACTGTTCTTATAGCTTAAATTA